TTAATAAAAATAATTTAACCTGCATATCAGAAATTTCTTTCAATTTCTTTTCTTGTTCCTTTGATATGTCTGTTAATTTCTGTATTTGCTTTACATAATACTTCTCATTAGAAGCCTTCTTTTCCTGTTCTTTCCTTATCTGTTCAATGCTTTCTTGAAGCGCACTATTCAACTATTTAAAATTTAATAGCTAATATTATAATCAAATAATTTGCTATGCATATGCATTTATTTATAATACAAATTTTGTAAACCTTTTCTATTTCTAAGTTGCGTTCATATAGCTGTTTTTCCATTTTCTTTTGCCATTCTTTCTCTTGTTTCTTCAAATATTTTTGAAGATCAGATTCAACAAAGTTCAACTTTAATAATAACAAAAAATTCCATAATACGTTAATAAATTTGAATTTGAATAGTAACAAAAAATCAAAATGAAACAATATGTATTAAATAACTTTAATCCAATTACAGTCATTATGTATTACATTAATGTTAAATCTATTCAGCTATTAATTAAATTTTTTATTAAAATCAAAAGTAATAATTGTATTTTAAGATACATATTAAAAATATGATTCAAAAATATAAAAAGTATCATTCAAAATTATATTTTGCAGTTTTTAAATAATAATAATCATCCCTCTAACAACCAATTTAAAGTTAACAAAATATCTGTTGGAGATATTTTTAAATTTCCTGTTTAAAATCTTAATTAAATTATTTCTTTTATTTTATTTTTACTATGATCTTCTTCAAATATCTTGTTTTATTAAAATACAGTTTATCTTATGTTAAAAATTTTAAATAGCTAGTAGAATTATAATTAGTTTAACAGAAATCTGAATATAAAATTTGAAATAAGTTTTAAAAGTTTCAAGAAAAGAAAGTGGTCTATTGAGAAATAAAAATGTTTATACTAATTTTAAATAATTTCAAGAATATTTAAGGTAATTTCAACATTTTACTTAAAAATACTTTTAATATCATTAAATTTTATTCTATACTGACTCATAAGACATTTAACATATTATCAATAATTTCAAAATATTATATTAAAACAAATATATTATTATGCTGCCTATTCATGAATTGTATTGGTAAGATAAAATTATGACAGGCTATCCTCATTTATTTATAAACTGTATTTTAATAAAACAAAATATTTGAAAAATATCTTAATAAAAATAAATTAAATAAAATAAATAAATATTTAAATTTAAAAATTTTTCATGATTAATTTACAAATATGTAACTTTAAGAATTTTTATCTTATTTAATAAAAATGAAACAAAAATATTCAAATGAATATATTAAATTTAATTTGATAATTACAAGTCGTAATGACCCACTTGAGACTCAAATTGTTCTTTTAATGCTTGCACTTCTTGTTCTCTTTCTAAAGATGATGAATGTTGAAAATGACTTTTTTCTAAATATAATTGACTAACTTGAGCATATTTATCTTGCAATTCTTTTAATGCTATTTCTGAATTTTGATGTTTTTTTTCTACTTCTTTTAACTCTTTCATAAATGTATTTCGTACAGCTTCTAATTCAGCCTTTGTGAAAAGAAAGATATTATATTAAAAAAACAATTAAGATATTAACAGTTATTGATAAATTATAAAATGAAACAGAAAAGTAAATAATAAATGAGAGACAAAATAAAAAAAAAAAAAAAANTTCATAAATGTATTTCGTACAGCTTCTAATTCAGCCTTTGTGAAAAGAAAGATATTATATTAAAAAAACAATTAAGATATTAACAGTTATTGATAAATTATAAAATGAAACAGAAAAGTAAATAATAAATGAGAGACAAAATAAAAAAAATAAAAAAACATTTGGGTAGAAAAGTTGTATACACTTTTTCATTTAATCTTTGTATACAATCTCTATTCTCAAATTATATTTTGTAAAGTTTTTCTCTCAAAAAAATTAAATTACTTCAAACTGAAATTAACAATACTTTTCACAAGAATTATAATAATTACTGGAATTATATCCAGTATTCATATTTATTAAATATTTTTCATTAAATTGGGTGTAATAGCAAATACTATTCTTTCATATTTGATTACATTTCATTAATATATTTTCAATGTTGACAAATATTGATTTATGTAATTAAATAATGTATATACCAACTTAAATATTTTTGAAAAGAGTCTTAAGAAATAACTATAATATCTAATTCTAAGATAAATACTCCTCTTTATCACATTTGGAAAAAAATTATAACTTTCATATGTATAAATTATTTTCATTTTATTCACTATATATGTTTTTACATACTGTGTGCCTGGTCATTTCATCTTTCTTCCACTCTTCTATTGATTTCAATAACATTTCCTTTTCATTAGCATATTTCTCTTCTATCTACAAAATATAAATTTAATTAACATATTTGTACTTGAAAAACAGAATGATTAATTTATTAATATGAAATTTAAATTATTTTTCTAACTATTTAAATTTAACATGAAAAAATATGCCTACGTAATCATAGAAAATCCCATAAAAATGCTAAAACTGTTCAATTAGTCAGGAGTTTTATTCTAGATTAAATGTTATTTAAGACATTAATGTCTCATCATCACATCAAATACTTTAAAAATATTAAATTCAAATAAAAACAATATCTTAAGAATATTCTAATTCTCATAAAATTTTACAACAAAATTAGTTCAAAAATAAAATGATATTACGTTTAAAATATCAGATAAAATAAAAAATAAAACAGTATGAAAAAATAACTAATATTCACATCTACTATTTAGAAGACAAAACAAAACAAAAAAAGTTATTTGTGTTGTCTTAATGAATTTGTCAGACAAACCCGGGGGTCCACATTGCTATCCTCTGTTCTTTTGTTTGAAATTAAATTGATACTAGTTGCTTTGGTTAGCTCTTCTGCAATTCTTAAAAGGACATTCTTTGTATTGGCTGTAATAACCTCTACCTTATCTCATTTAGAATAATTCTTCAACTAAGCTATATTCACTCTTCCTTTTCTAAAGTCTCTACATGTTCCTTTAAGTCATCTCCCAATTGTACAGTATATGCAATAAAGTTTTCATTTTGTTCTTTTTAATTTAAAAAAAGCTGGCAAGCAGTGGCGTGCCATCCTTGGAAGTGGTGGAAGTGCCGCTTCCCTTGTATTTCTAAAATATAAATACATATTGCACAATTATTTTCATATTTTAACTTACTTTGAATTAATTAAAATTAATATTTTATTATAACCAGATTATGTATCTTAATACAAATTTCTATACTACATGTGAAAAAAACGATAAGATTGCTACTGTATATTTGAATGTCAGTGGTGGATTTATGTATCCATTGTCATAAAAATTTGTCTTTCCACTTCTTTCCCAAGACTACAAATATTCAAGTACAAAGTAACCGGATTCAACTTATTTTTACATAAGTAGTTAAATAATTAAGAGATTAGGGAATTAGGAACATAAAATTCTGTTGATAAAGCCGGAATTTTATTTAAAAGCTTAACTGAACCAATCTCTTGCCAAGTATAGTTGAGACTGATTTCTTCGTAATATTAGATGCAATAAAGACAGAAATTTTTCTAGTTCAATAAGAGTGACTGAAAAGTAAATTTCGGAAATTTCTGTGGATACCTGGTCCTAAAACGAATTAGTTAGAAAACAAATGACGGACAATCTACTTAGTATTAAGTTTAACATATGTAGATTTTACAACTATAGTGAGAAATGTTTAAAATTTACAACAACCCTGTCGCGTCCTTTGAGGTATTACTAGTGATGCGACAAAAGAGGAATCCATTTGACTTAAAAATTTAGAAACATTGACCTGTATCGGCACTCCTGGGATTTGGTAGCTGCGTGCATCCATGCACTGCACACAGGACTGTCTCTGATTCTATCCATTAGCCACTCGTAGGGAGCTATTTGACTAAGTAGATTGTTTTAAGATTTAAAAAGTAAAGAATATTTTATGTTATTTTTTATGTACTTTTCTTTACAAAGCTATATCTATACTAATATTATAAAGAGGTAATGTTTGTAAGTTTGGATGTAGGGGGTAATCTCCAAAACTACTCATCCGATTTCAAAAATTCTTTCACCAATATTTAGAATGGAACTTAAGGGTGGACATAGGCTGTATATTATCATTAAACATTCATATAAATTAAAAGATATCATCTAGAGTTAAGGCTTTTATGTCCAACAGATGGCGCTACAAATATGACAACCTAAGTTTGCTTTTCTGTGAGGCATTATATTTTTCTGTGAGGATGAACTAAAGCAGATCATCTATCTATCTATATAAATAAAAATGTAATGTTCGTTTGTTCCTACCTTCGATGTTGTTTGAAATTTTGACACAACACTGCATTCGAATATGCATGTGTTTTTATATAATATACATGTTGAAAGTCCCCCCACTGGGGGGGAGATGGACAGGATTAAGGCTTACCGTAAAGAACTCTGCTTCTATTTATACTATTTTAGAGGTGGTTTTTTGCGTTTTTGATTGTGTTTTAATAGGGTACATCAACAAAATATACACTAAAAAGGGATTTTTCGATATTCCCCCGCGGGGGAGAAGGACAGGATTAAGGCTTACCATGAAGAACTTGGCTTCTATTATACTATTTTAGATGCAGTTTTTTGC